AGACAATGCAAATATTCTATTCCTCATTAATTTCCCCTGAAACATAGCATTCATTGATGGCTCTTGTCTGATTCAGTCTTTACTGTTATGATTGCAAAATGCTCATTTTTCAATTCTAATACTCCGAGCCCATTTACCAGTTGGCAGTAACCAAGATCTCTCATTCTCCTATATTTATTTATTTGTCTATTAATTATTGTTATAAACTCATGAAATTCTATTTTTTTCCAGTAGTTTATAGTTCATTACTAAACTTAATTATTTTGGTGTTCATATAGTCCCAGATTTGGACAGTGGGAAACCCTTTCAAACTGCCTCCCATAATTTTTTTGAGCATTTTTTATTTTCTGGAACAATAAGATATTCTAGGGATCATATTAACTCTCCCTTGCCCAACTCTGGAAATTGCTCATTTCTTTGGATCCCTGTTTCTTTGGGAGAAATGCTTTTAGAGACTGAGATGTGGGCACAGGTGTGGTCTTTTCTACTAGAGTGTCTTTACCTGCTAAAGTAATACTGTGCTTTGCAGATTATTCCCTTTGGAGTTTTAGTTACTCTTTTCCTTTTGGATAAGTGGTTATTTTTATTCATTAGAATCTTCATCCTATGGAAAGAAGTTTGCATGTAATAAGCAGGCATAGACATCAGGGTGCATCAATAACAGAATCTTGGGTATTTAATTCTTGTGTTTGTTTGAAAGTGGAATCATTAAACTACTAATAGTATAATAAAAAATACAGACTATTGGAAAAGTTTTAGATATATTATCTTTACTTGGAAATATTTTCTAGGGACATTTTCTTTTTTCCTGGTATTGCTTTAACACAGCTGTTTATTTGGTGGTGAGTTATTACAAATATTCCCTTTCCTAGTTTTGTATTTGGTTTGTTTATTTTTATTCAGGTCTGCAGAAGTCATTTCTAGTGCTTTCTAAAAATTTATAATACTCTTCTTTTTTTTAGGCTGTCAAAAGACATAATCTGACTAAAAGATGGCTTATGAAAATCATTGATGAAAGAGTAAGTTGAAATTGCTCAAGTCTTAAATTTTTCTTCCTTTTTAATCTTTAAACTAATTTTTCATCAAAATTTGAGTAGTCAACCCAGTACTTGGATCTCTGTCCAAAGAGTAGAGGGAATAAGGAAAGTTTGATGGTTCTGGTGAATGGAATCCTAAGCTAAGTTCTTAGAACTGAGTTCTATTCTAGTTCCCACAAATTGCTCAATGACCTGGGCTAACCTGTACAATCTTTCTGATACATTGTTGGCTCAGTGTCCTCACTGGCCTGATGTTTATAATGTACTGTTGCCATGAAAGTGCAAGTTTACTTAACTTTATGTGAATATAATCTATGAATAACCATAGCTATAGTAATCCTATATAATAAAAGGGTAATATGCAAATAGACCGAACAGCAGAACAACTGAACAACCAATCAAAGCGAAATATGCTAATGATATGCTAAGGCTGCTCAACCGCTCACTATGACATGAACTGACCACCAAGTGGCAGACAGTCAACTGCTTGACCAGTCGCTATGACGTGCACTGACCACCAGGGGGCAGACAGTCGACTGGTCGACCAGTTGGTATGATGTGCACTGACCACCAGGGGGCAGATGCTCCAACTGGTAGGTTAGCTTACTGCTGGGGTCCAGCCGATTGGGACTAAGCGAGATGGGCCAGACATGCCCTGGAGCCCTCCCGCTATCCCTCCCCGGCCCGTTCATGCACTGGTAGGGCCCCTTAGCCTGGCCTGCACCCTCTTGCAATCTGAGACCCCTCAGGGAGTGTTGAAGAGCCGGTTTCAGCCCGATCTGCAGGCCACTCTCCTTGGGAGGGCGCCAGATGCAGGGCTCATGGCTGGCGAGTGCTGCGAGCCTCTCCCTATCGGGACTGATTGGGCACAAGCCTGCGGCAGGCACAGTGGGGCCGGCATAAGTGGGAGCGGCAAGTAGGAGCTGCAGGCGGTGTTGGGTTGCTGGTTTTGGCCCAATCCCTACAGGCCACCCAGAGGGACCCCACCTGTGCACGAATTAGTGCATCAGGCATGTAGTAATAATATAAGCCAAAATGAGATGGTGGCTTCAACATTAAGAAAAATTGCTCAGTTGACCTATAGAGTTAATTAGCACTAAGAAAATCATTTTTTCAGATGTCCTGGTTTTATGACATTAAGAAAATTGGAGAACTTAAGACAGAGATAGCTTTCCTGTTTAATGGAATAATAACACTTAGCATTTATAGGGAGAAATATTTAAAAGTAAAGGACTGTGCTCAATCTCCTCTCATAGAGTCAATAAAAATTCCAGCTGCCTTTTTTACAGAAATTGACAAGCTGATCCTAAAATTCTTATGCAAATGCAAGGGACCCAGAATCACCAAAACAATGTTGAAAAAGGAGAACAAAGTTCGAGGACTCATATTTCTTGATTTCGAAACTTAACTACAAAGTTACAGGAATCAAACTGTGGTATTGATATAGAATAGACATATAGATCAATAGAATAGAATTGAGAGTCCAATAATAAACCCATATATTTATAGTCAGTTGATTTTTGACAAGAGTGTGAAGATAATTCAGTGGGGAAAATATTTGTTTCAACAAATGTTGTTGGGACAACTGGATAGCCACATGCAAAAGAATGAATTTGGACTCCTACCTCACACCGTATACAAAAACTTACTCAAAATGGATCAAAAACCTAAATGTAAGACAATTGTAAAACTCTTAGGAGAAAACATAGGCATAAGTTTTTGTGACTTTAGGATGGGCAGTGATTTCTTAGATGTGATGATAAAAGCACAAGAAATAAAATATATACCTGGTAATTGGACTTTATCAAAATTAAAAAATTTAAGGAAGTTAAAAGACAGTTCATAGAATGGGAAAAAGTATTTGCCAGTTATATATTTGATAAGAGACTAGTATCTAGAATATGTAAAGAATTCTTAGAGCTAAACACTAAAAAAGACAGATAATCCAATTTAAAAATAGGCAAAGGATCTGAGTAAACATTCTTTAAGAAGATATACCAATGACCAATAAGCACCTGAA